CTTACATTAGTTAAATTAAATAATAAAGTATCAAGGTATTCAAATGAAGAAAAAGTGTCACAGTGTTGTTTCTTAATTTGGAGATTGTTCTTATAAAGCAAACCAATACCTCCACCGCGCTTGTTGCTGTCCCTTGGAGAGTGTATAAACTGAAATCCTTCAGGGCAGAGCTCAGCAATACTAGCTTCATCTCCAGTCGGGTTGAGCCACGTCTCAGTAATAGCCATAATATCAATGTTATGATCAGTGGTGAAATCATTTATACACAAAGTTTTGTTTCTGACAGATCTTGCATTCAGCAAACAAAGTTCAAAAGAATTACGCTTAAAATCCAGAGCAGAAGTGGAACGGGCAGGTGTCGAGARATTATTTGCATGAACAAAAGGAGTAGTCTTCAGAGAATTCTGGCGATGAATAGTAACCCTCACTGGAATCTTGCGATTATCATGATTTAATGAAGGTTGTACTGGTACTGGGATAAGATTGTTTTTGTTGATTCCCCCTTTGTTTAGATACGCAAATTTACGCTCAGATCTATGGAGCGTAACAATGGATTCAATTTCCAGGCATTTCAAAATTTCATTTAGTTTAGTCTTCACACCAGATCTTCTTCCTCTGTACTCTCGGTTAGAGTAAAATTCATATCCTAGGCAGTGATGGTTGCTATAATGAAGGTTAAGTGAGTCATCGGCAGGAAAGCTGTTAAGATGATGAGACCAGCGAGATGGTGAGCAGTCAGGCATTATATACAGGAACAAAAGTACTAGGATCCAAAACTCAGCAAAACAACCAATTTCATCAAGAGAAAAAACTTGATCCAGAGAACCCTTTGACTTTTAAACAGATGTGGAGGAGAATTTGGAACTCCAAAAACAAGATTTAGAAGGAAACATCGAAATTTATCGGAGAGATGTTGAAATGCGTGCAGCCGTGACGGCGCTTACAATTTGATTCCATTCATCATACCATTATCATCATTAACATCATCATACTGTCATCATACCATTATCATCATCATACTATCATCATACCATTATCATCATTACCATCATCATACTATCATCATACCATTATCATCATTACCATCATCATACTATCATCATACCATTATCATCATTACCATCATCATACCATTATCATCATTACCATCTTCATCATATCATTGTCATCATCACCAGGGCCATCTTTACTAATATTCTGATAATTTAATTCAACTCGTTAAATGAATTGTTTAAGCTATTTTAAAGCAAGCCCTCAAGGGTTATGTCAAATGCGATGTCTTCGTACAGGGGATTTCTTCATGGTAGGGGATGACTTGATCACTCTTACACACTAACCTGTGCTCATGTGATGTCTTCGTACAGGGGATTTCTTCATGATAGGGGATGACTTGATCACTCTTAAATTTTTAGCGTCTTTTTCTTTTCTCTTGTCTAACACCAAGCTGTCCGACTTGGCTGAGCCAGCAGTGGAAGTAACTAAAAAGGAAAATGCAATTAAAACATTCATCTCTCAGGGTAGGTGGGTGTAGTAAGATAGCTCTGGGCATTGCTATGGTTACCACTGAAGAAACATTAAGGTCGCTAGAAGGGTTGCTATGGATACCACTTGGGGAGTATTAAGGTGTGTATAAGGGTTGCTATTATGGTTACCTATCTGTGCTTTGTGAGGTCTTACCTCGTTGTGAGTCATTGCTTGAGGAGTCACTAGCGCTTCGTTCCCCTCTACCTTCATCGTATTCTGGGGTGCCCTCAATGCATGAAGTGGACTGTGAACGAGCACGTATTAGCTTAGGCTTCAAATCATTACCATGATCTGATTCGTTCTCTTCCTTGATGTTGTCCGGGTGCTGATGGAAAGTGTCGTCTGATTGGCTGCCTTTGGTTCGCGACGTAGGTTGATGATGTGACGTAGGTTGATGTTGTACGAAAATGTTATTTTCGCTCAGTGTTTGTCTTGAATGTAGTTTTTCAATGATTCCAAATGGTACAGCGTCTGACTCGGAACTTGTGCGAGAGAATGTTTGTCGATGCGACACAAATGTATCATGACCTGAGTGACGTCTTCTGAGAGGTTCTTCAGACGGTATCTTATCCTGGCCCTCGTTCTGTTCAGTCTTCTCTTCATGCGACAGTTCATATTGTATGTCTGACTGTATCGGGGACCCTGTGGGGTCCGTGAAATCATCCATACCTATAGCACATCTAGACTGTTCATTACCATCATATGTCTTATCATCAGTGTATAAGGTACTTTCATAAGGTTTTTCTGCTGTCTGTTCAAGATTTGAACCATCAACTTTACTTGTTTCCTTTGATTCTTCAGTACCATGTTCTTCTGTCTTGAGATTTTCCTCTCCTTTTTCTTCCTTAAGTGATGAGTTCGACTCTTCTTCAGGTTGTTCGTCATGGCTATCCCCTGTATCTGTAATCTTTGTTACCTGACTACTCAGTGTGCTGTTGCCTTGAGTGTCTGTCTGTCTTTCAGTAGCATCTGTCTGTCTTTCAGTAGTGTCTGTCTGTCTTTCAGTAGTGTCTGTCTGTCCTGTGGTTTCTTCATTTTCTTCACTGAATGGACGGGAGGGCTTGGGGTGAGCTGATTTGCCTCTGATTTGGTGATGTTTCTTTTCATCTTGAGTATATGCCCCTAAAATAGTATCAAGAAAATGTTCATGTCTCACTACCTGGTATCATTTAACCTCTCGCTATGGTGATAGTGACATGTAATCTTTATCAGCAAAGTGAGGACAGACATTCATGATTCATCACACAACATTCTGAGTTTGTTTGCGCTAACGTTTGTCACGACAGTCAGTACTGTCATGTCACACAACAGTAACAACAATAAAATGCAGGGACTAACAAAATAAGTTTGTAACAATTTGTCACGACAGTCAGTACTATACTGTCATGATGTCACACAACAGTAACAAGACCAACTGAAGGTAATGCCCTTACCAGGACTGAAGTGTAGTTCAATATGGAATCTATTGTCTGAGCCCACTTCAGCTGTGGGGTCTTCATACAACATTAGTACAAGCTGTGTCATGTAGTTCAGCTCTGGAATCTCGCCTAAAAACTCCAATGCCCTGTTCCACTGCTCATCAGCCTTGTCAACCTGAGTTATACAATACCAGCAAACATTTTATTAGTCTTGGAACCAGCCAGCCAATCGCAATACAAGGTTTTCATAATGACCGACGAAAATGAAGTTACCCAGTCTTGCAAGGCTGAGCAAGGCTGCTCATTCATAATAAAGGTGGATAGCGCAATTAAGGTCTAAACAAAAGGTCAATTTCTATACTTTTTTCCTTTTAACGCATTTCATGTGTTTTTATGTCGTTTATTGTGAACTAATGACCCAGTGACCTTGTTTTCGTGCATTTGTCAACCATTATGAGAATAATTTTTTGAATCAGCAAGTAACACATGCTAAGCTTTCTTTATCTTTATAATTAGCTTTACTATGTATTACAGTACACACATACACGTGCTATTCACTGTATTTAAGCATTTGTAAGGACTATCTTGTCACACTGATGATGGTGTAAGGACGCCAAAACATGTCTGCTGGAAATAAATCAGTACGGTTTCAACTTTACAATGTCGTTTTGATTATCAAGCTTATTTCATCACTGCTATTACACCAACCTGAGAATGGTGTATGCATAAGTAAACAATCAGAATTCAGCAGTTAGTAAACAAAACAAAGCACGATGAAATGAAATGATGAAAAAACAACAAAAAAAACTCACGTCAATTAAGTTTCCATATCGTATGGAATTGACGACAGAATGAACATGACTCTCACTGGTGAAGTAAAGCCGAGTACGAACATGTCGGTGAGGTGAAATGACACTCTGAGAATACCTGAAAAAATAACAAGTGTTAGGTAGCTGGACAACTTCTCCCCCACCCAACCCCCCTACAACTTCATGATTGGGAACAGGGAAGCAGAGGGGTGACAGGGGGGGGGGGACCTAGTCCTTACTTGGGGTTCAGTCGTGTAGTGGTAGTATCAGTAACATCGGCAGCCTTCAGATCACCATTGATTTTCCTCAGTAATCTTTGACAGATGGTCTGCGATATCTTGACTTTTTCCTCTGCTGTTATACCATACTCCTACAACAAAAACCAACAAACAATAATCACCTGAGATGATGCCCCCCTACTCACATCTTGTATCCTTCCAGGGTTTTATAGTTTGTCTCGTTAATCAGGGGGGGGGGTCACACCAAACTTTGGTAGTTAGTGAGCACCTGAGATGAACCCCCTGCTCACATCTTGTATCCTTCCAGGGTTTTATAGTTTGTCTCGTTAATCAGGGGGGTCACACCAACCTTTGGTAGTCAGTGAGCACCTGAGGTCAACCCCCCGCTCACATCTTGTATCCTTCCAGGGTTTTATAGTTTGTCTCGTTAATCAGGGGGGTTACACCAACCCTTGGTAGTCAGTGAGCACCTGAGGTCAACCCCCCTGCTCACATCTTGTATACTTCCAGGGTTTTCTTGTTAATTATTGATATTACCTGTGGGATTACTATGTCAGCTAGCGCTTTAGAGCAATCGTAGAGTTCTTCAGTGGAATGCAGACCAAGTCGACTGAAATTAAACAGTAGTTACCTATTTCTTTTTTGTACCGTCAAGTGGAAGACATTTATTTCAAATTCTAAAATATATGAGATATATACTGTAAACCGCACACTGATTGGCTGGCCACTGTGTTTATATCAGAGGACAGAGACACGCTATCTTGCAAAATCGTTCAAAAATATCTTATAAAAGAAATATGACTAAGCTTGCTTCTTTCATGCTCTGCAGCTCAGTTTATATCACAGTACAGAGATCTGTGCATGCATTTTATATTCCTAGAATAAAAGAAATAAATATACTGCATTGCAGACATTTCCACTCATAATCCAACACAGACTGTCCAATACCTGTTGTGTTGTATATCATTTACTTTATACTGTCATATATATCTGGTATTAGACTGACCAATACCTGTTGTGTTGTATATCATTTACTTTATACTATCATATATATCTGGTATCAGACTGACCAATACCTGTTGTGTTGTATATC